AGATCTATATTTTTTTTTATTGAGATAGAGACTCACAGACATAGACACACACACACATATATATACTTCTATTTAGTATATGTGTGTATATATATATATAGATATAGATATATACATATACACACTCTCTCTCTTTCTCACTCTCGCTCATACACTCACCTTTTTATGTACACAAATTTTTTTATACATAAAAATAAAAATAAGTAAAAATAAACTTTTTAATACATAAACAAATTAATTAAAAAACAAATACAAAAGAAATCACATTTTTTTTTTTTTTTTTTTTTTTTTTTTTTTTTTTTTTTTTTTATATATAAATAAAAATATATATATATATGTATATATATATATATATATATATATATATATATATATATATATATATATATATATATATATATATATATATATATATATATATATATATTCAAAATATAATATAATATATATAATATTCAATATATAAAATATTTACACTAAACAAAAGTCTCTTCACAGAATGTGCACTTATTCTTTATTTAGCGAATGCCTTAAGACTGTAAGTTTTGTACTTCTTATTAATGTATTAATATTTAATTTTGGTAAACTTATGTTTTTTTCCTTGAAGCTCTTATGTTTGATATCATGTTTACATTTTGGGTAATCCTTATTAATTTCAGAATACTGTTTATTTTCAATCTCAATGTCTAATAGTTTTTTATTGTTTTAAGACATTTTTAATTGCATAGGAGACAAATTTGAAAGTACTGTTGGACAATTTTTCTTTAAAAAATAAATGTCTAAAATGGTATTGTTTGTGTGTTTAAAATTACAGATTTATTTTGATAGACTTATGGGGTTTAAAGATTTAAATTATGGCTAATTTTGTTTGTGAAACTGAAGATGGTGAAGTTAATTTGAAAAAAAAATTGCTATCAAAATGTATGAGCTGGGTGACCAAGTATGTAAAGTTGAGATAAATAATTGAAAGAAGTTAATTGCAATTAAAATGTATGAGCTGAATGACTTGAGTATTTAAAGTTAAAAGAAATTAAATAAATTAAGTTAATTGCCATTACAATGTTCAAGCTAGGAGACTAAGTATTTAAAGTTTGGAAAAATTAAAACAATTAAGTTAATTGCTATTAAAATGTATGAGCTGAGTAACTTGGGTATTTTAAGTTAGGTGAAGTGTCTTGCACGAGTACAACAAACTCAAAACTTGATGTTTCTGTTTACTTGAAATAGTTAATTTCATAACTTAAAAAATTTGACGTAACTGATTACCTCAAATTTTTTGAGTTTTGTCAACTTATTCGGGATTACAGTGTATATATATATATGTATGTATATATATATATATATATATATATATATATATATATATATATATATATATATATATGCTGTAAGTTACTGACTATATACTCCTTGTTCATTGAACATGTAACAAAAGGAAGCATATACACAAAAAGAATAGGGAAACTGGTAATATAAAATACATTATATATTTTAATTTGAAATTAAAACAACATTTACTGTATCTGTTCCAGAATATTATGGAAAAAAATTAAAACCTTGCAAAGATCCACATACTTTTACTTTGCATGTAGATATAGCCCTGCAAAAAATGTATTACATATGAGATACAGATTACCTATTTATGCTTATGCTGTATTTTCATCCCCTCAAACAAAAACACATCAACATGGTAATCTTGCAAAAAAGAGTGTTATCTTACTGGATGAGAAGGATGGAGTTTCTTGTATTGAAAACACTCAGCATTTCAAACATTTCAGGAATTGCACATGTTAGATTACATTAGACTACAGAGTGAACTAAATATAGAAGAATCAAGAAATTATCCTGTAATTAATTATTTTTTATTATTTTTAGATGCAATTTAATGGAAAAAAAAATATTATCAGTTTTAACTTATTGAAATTATATGCCTTATACTGAACTTTGTTTACAGTTGAAGAAGCATCAGAACTTTGTGGCAAGCTGGACCCCTTTTTAAACAGTTAATGGGGTTATTGTGTCTGTGCAAAATTTCCAATGTCGTTTTTGTGGTAATCGTAAGACTCCTTGTAGGAGTAGGTGTTTGCAAAGACCACCGAAACCAATTCGACTCATAGTAATTACTAAAAACCAAGTGTGATAAGTTTTATAATTTGAAAATGCATTATGACTGTGTCATTAACGTTTTCCCGAAATTGTTAGCAAAACTTCTATTGTGCATTTTTATCGGCCGTCGATCGATCATTGTCATAGTTTCCACGACGTATGGGAAAAAAAGGACTTTGTTGAGGTCTGTTTGGATGGTGGTTGGATAATAATCTTCAGTAACTGTCAGTACAAAGTTGACTGGAAATGCGCATTTTCTGATAAAGATGACATCAATAACATAAAAAATCAAATCCATAACAGTTGATGCAGCTGACAAATGGATCTTACATGTTACTTTAATACAGTAGTGTTAAATTCTTGTTCCAAGTCCTTTGTAGTCTTTAAATGGCATTATGCGGACAAAAAATACATTGCATCAATATTAAAACTGTGTTGTTCAGTTGATTTGGAAAGGGACATATCTGTTTATACACTGCCCATCCAGAAAAAAAAGTCGCTGCCTGAATTATACTAAGTAATATATTTAATAATTATATTCATTATATTTCAGCTTGTAACAAGCTATTTAAAGTTGCATTATGTAAGTTTGACACCCAGTGGTTGAAATAGATATTGCAAAGTTGGTTCAAAACACATGTACAGTAAGCGCAGGTTGCCAGACTGATGACACCAATAGGAGCAAGTCTGATTATGGAGCAGGCCTGGACTGTGGCAAAAAAAAAAAACAAATCGGCCCTGGCATTTTGGGCTAGGGCGGCCCACTACATACAATCAAAATGCTACCCATCTGTGCATGTCCAATATGTTTATCAACTCCTACTTTATAAAAACACAAAAGCCATATATGTTAAATAAATAAATACAGACATTAATCTCAGTTTAACAACAGGAATCAGTCCAAGGCACTCGAAAAATGTGGATAATTTTAAAAGCCTTTTGTCACATGGCTAAATCTTAAAAAACCTACGTGTTTCAGCAAGAATCTGCCTTCATCAGGGTAACATGTCTGTCACTGTTACCCTGATGAAGGCAGATTCTTGCCGAAACGCGTAGGTTTTTTTAAGATTTAACCATGTGAAAAAAGGCTTTTAAAATTATCCACATTTTTCGAGTGCCTTGGACTGATTTTTGTTGTTGTTTTGATGAATCCCTTACCCAAAGATCACAGACCAAATATTTGAGTTACCCCTGAGCGCTTTGTGTTTGTTTTTCTGGATTAATCTCAATTTAATTACTGTACAGCGTCCATAAAGATTTTTGTTATGTTCTAATAAATACACTATTCATTCATTTATTCATTCATTTAATTTCCTTCGGCTGAGTCCCTTTTTTATCAGTGGGAACCACAGCGGAATGAACCGCCAACTATTTCAGCATATGTTTTTTGCAGCAAATGCCCTTCCAGCCATACAACCCAGTATCGGAAAACACCCATCCACTCTCATTCACACTAAAACACAGTCACACACACACACACACACACACACACACACACACACACACACACATATACACACACACAAACACACACAAACACACTCTCATACACTACAGTCAATTTAGTTTTTTTAATACATTATTCACTTAGCCTAGATTAAATAATAAACATAACAAAAACTGCATGTTGACGCATGGGTAAATCTTCAAACGTAACAGTGTACTTTATAACCTCATTCACCTCATCCTGCTTGCTGTTTCATCTTAACAATGACAACATAATATAAGAATATTTATTTAATTTTGATACTATGATTAGCAGACACCAAATGGCCTCATGTAGAGCTACATGTTTATATGACCGTCATCTTCACTCTGCATATTTATAACAAAACAGAACCTATAACATAACTGCCTCCTTTCATTTTCATTGAAAAGTATGAACGTTACCCTGTCTCTTTTGCTGAATATTAGTTTCAATAATCAATAATGGCCATTATAAAACAATAACGTACAGTAAATTTATACGATAAAGGCAAGCAATCAGTCAATGTGCAGACTCAGTTTACAAGGTTACATAAATTAATATAATAACTTATCTTTGCACTCAGCCAAAACAGAGTTACCTGAGAACAAGTGATTGAAAAGACAGAAGAGTCGTTGGATAGAGACAACAAGATGAATATATCATGTTTAACAAAATCCCGTTTAACAACTATAGTGAGGTGAGATCTAGCACCAGCAGCCCTACTGGCTGCAGCTCATGACAGAGTTTGTGTGTGGTCACCTGATTTGCGTTTTTAGCCGTGTAGTATGGACGGAGAACCTTTTAGAACCGCTAAATGAAACGCCAGTGTGTTTCCCGCAATTTCTCTGCGCCTCACTTCCATTTCTTCTCCATCTCTGACTCTTGACTATTTCGACAAATACTCACACAGAGCCCAAAATGTAAGTTTTTGCTAGTCCAATGTCAATAAAGAAATGGGCTACAGATTCATTCACATGGGGCGTTATGTCTGAAAAAAAAGAAAGCATCTTGCTTTCACAGCGTCACAGATCACAGCATCTTCAATTAACTAGGTCGAAAAAAACGATAGGCTGCTAAGCTTTTTATGG